AATACTTCCATCCTAGGTCGTGGTTAAAAAAATACGTGGTCTGTGATCTTTTATTGCCCTGATTAACTTACTGTTCGTTCATAGTGTTTGATGTAAGCTTAATTCGTTTTTTAATCATATTTATGACTGTGGCAAGACGTGAAACGGTTGAAATAATTCTTGAGACTGTATCTATATTTACATATAATTCTAAGGTCTATTCAACTAATTAACAGTAGACGATAAAACAAAAACATGACATTGAAAAGCTAAATAGATTTAGGAAACGTCTTTTCAGCGTGAGTCTGTCGGTCGGTGGGCTGTATTATTAATATTATTTCTACCTATTTGTTGTATAAATTTTAGGTTTCAGACATCATGTGAGCTCACGGGTCACATGATGGTAAATGACTACCATCGCCCACAGTCACCTGCACCTCAAAAGCTCATGAACTTAATGTCTTTGAAAATAGCCCACTTAAAAGGATGTGTGGGCAGTATAACGCTATTTGTTCAAGATTGGATATCTTTAATGATAAATTAATAAACTTCAAAAAACCCATATGTAATAATTTTACATATAGCGTTTAGTCACCTTTGCTATCATTGTATTTACTATTTCTAATCTTCATTTGTTTATGTATTTGTGTTCATGTCTAGGAAGCTGATAACTTTTAAATGATGTGTACAGATATAATAGGATATCAGAATCATAATATGTATGTTAAATTGCTATTATTTGGTTTTACCTGTTATATAACAAAAAAAGTGTTACAAGTGCTTTGCTGGTCTTTGATCCAGAAGTAGGGGGTTTGTCCTCCTCGTTAACATCAGTTTTCTTTAAGATCATAGGTGAAACCTGGTTAATTGGGATCTCAAGGGACCAAGACATATGTACCAATTATTGAGGGTTTCCAATAATCCAGTTTTCCAATTAAGCAGGTTTAAAATTATTGTTGTCTCATTAACAGAGGCCCCCGCTTACAGAGGCCGAAATGTGCCGTTATTCCATTCCATGTTATTCTCCTAGGTCAAAACCTGAGATAGTACTGACAAACAAAGCATGCGCGAAAGACGACGCGAAATGTAAGTAAACAAACATGTCAAAACCTGTTAAAACCTGATTAATTTGTCTCACTTATACAGGTAATTGAGCTACAGAGTCTCAATTATAGAGGTAAACATCGAAAAAGTCTTAGAATTCAAATCTCATTTAACCAGGTTCAAAAAGTCCCATTAACAGAGGTAATTTAATGAAAAAGAACCGGGACCTCATTGCAAGTCTCAATAATAGAGGTTTCCCACTTATCCAGGTCCCACTTAACCAGGTTTAACTGTATTACACCGGTCCAGCTGCCCACATATGCTAAAGCGTGGCAAGATAAATAGAAAGAGTTGTAGTATTTAGTATCTGAAATGGAGATAATTATACTTTTACAAAAAAAAAAACAAACTCCTCCATAGCCATGCTTCAGAGATATTTTTATATACAAAGTGAAATTTTAATTTAAACTACTCTGAATTAATGTTTAGCGTTTCTCAATGCTTTTGAAAATCTTAAACGTAGTTGGATGTTTATCTTAAAAAGCGGTAGTAAGTCCTTTCAGAAAATTAACTTCCTTTTGCCGGTAACGGCTCCAACCAAGCTTTGTAAACTTTCGAAATTAGTAGTGGTCTCAATGTTTTCCATTTTACCTCAAGCAAGCATCTAATACTCTTTTTCATTTTAGAACAAGGTTACATGAAAAGAAGAATCAAGGCGCTTATCATGATTAATGGTACCTCAATGGTCACGCGACTTAGGTCTGGTCACAGAGCTCTTTGACCTAACTCGGGCTGATTTCTATTCGGACATGTCAAATGCAAGTACGTAATATATTATGTAAAAGTATTAATTACCAGTTGTGCAACATTAATACGTTCAAAAGTCGAGGTTGTTTTTGGTTTGATATCCTGGGGGATTTCAATAAAAAATTCAGTGCAATTTTTCAATTTGTTTTGTTATTCTATTTCGAGTTCGTTGCGATACATGAATGTGATCTTATATGTATGATGTTTTGATGTACTTAATATGTTCAATATTAAAGCAGTAAATTGGACACGAAGCGACTTAGGATTGAAACTGTTTTAACCCCACTTTGAACTTTAATTATGAGAATATAAAAATTAGAAAATGCTAAGGATTAACCAAATTGTTTTTCCAAATTTTCTGTATCTATAAGAACAGAAGTAATAGTTTAAAATTGTCTTCGGACTAATCCAACCGCTAGAGAATGATAGTATATTAGAATCCTCATTTATGTGCTTTAACTTGCGAACTGGTTCGAAAAAAGGATTCCCGAATACGTTGGCGAGTTCTCTTCGACAGGTGCACATTTATCAGAATTCTATTGGTACTGGTTATTTATTTACATGGTATTTATGTCTAATTATGTTATATATTTCATTTCGTATGGTCGTTTATCTCTTGATACCTAAAACACTGCAATAAATAGGCACCCTATGTGAAAGTAGAGTTACATACATAAAGTCTCCAAATGCAACTCTAATCTGTACATGTTTATACTAGACGCAGTAAAAATTAATAATTTAATCTACAAATTGATTCTGTTTTGTCTTGGAGGGACATTGAGTTTTCTTTTGTTAACGCTAAAACAAAAGTCAACTATATAAGTTAAATATAAAAAATCTTGTTGTATACTAATATTGTATTTGATAGATAGATCTCTTTATTTTACAAAAAAAGAACAACTCAATTATAGTACAGTTTGTATACAATTGCATAAATCTTATAACCTAAGGTTATACACGTGAAACAAAGAAAATACGAGTATAATATAAAATAAACCATTGGCGGCCTTATCGCGTTTTGCGTTCTCTTCCAGGCAACCACTATATGGAGAAGGAGATTATTTGATTTGATTAACCTCAATATAACTATATAACACGATGATTCGCCTCAGAAAACTGCATCCGTAACTAAATCCGTCCTGTTGCAAGCTTGTTCCATGTTAAAAAAACGCAGCAAGGAAAGTTAGAGCGAATACAAAAAGAAGTAACGTGATTCCAAGTTATCTTCATCTTCTCCTAATTTTTTTAGATTGATTTTATTTTAAATTGTTATAATTATTTTATTTTGGTTTGTGTTAATTTTTTACAAATATGTATAAAAATCACACTTCGTCAAGTACCGACTTTCAGTCTAAAGGTGGAAACGCATTTGTGTCTCTTTAGTTGTAGGTGGACACCTCGGTATGGTGGTATGGTATGGGCGCCGGTAGTGGCGTCCTCTCGTTTGCTTCCTATAGCGCATAAAAAACATTTCTGCTACTGAAAATTCTGAACAGGAAATGTAGAGATCAAGCTATGCGCTACTTGTGGTAGTTTGAACATAACAGTATTAAGAATAGCCAACCTAGTTTTAAGAATTTACAATTATATGTGTTAATGTTTCGTAAAACTGTATGTACGTATTTATACTGTGAAGGATTGTGCCTGTATTGTGGTACTTATATACGACTTGGTTTGTTGTAATATGCTAATGAAACTTTGAATGGTTGTAAAATAAATGCAAATTACATTACATCACAATATACTTTTACAATGCTTCACTTTCAATACTTCATCGACACCCGGTCGACCAACGGCTAAGCGATTACAAATGATTACTTTATTATTCTTGGTCCTCCTCACCCGGTTCTCCATAACAATGTTGTAATACAACCAAATTATTTTGCACATGAACGGACCTAAAGTAACATATTACTGGCCACTCTCAATGATCAGCTCAGCTTGCCAAATAACTCCGAAAAAGTATCCTCAAACACACATTGCAGTGTAATTATACCTTTTGTATTTTTAATTGAAATATACATATAACCTATAAATTCACAAATAAAATCATTATTTACAACATGTTTTAACAGTTCGGCAAAATAATCGGTAGCAATAACGGTGTCCAATATAAAATGAAATCATATACATAAGCCAGGATTAAGAGTTTAAATTATTTTAAGAGATTAAAACGCATGATAAAACACTGTATCCGCTGTCCGCACCCCGGTCCAATGTTAATTTAACTTTAAATCCTGTTTTTAAGCAGATTGTTCCAAACCATGTTGTATTTATTGTTCTTAACACATTAAACTGGATCAGAATTTTGTACGTAAATCGTGTTTCATAATTTGTCGCTGTTTGCGCGATACAATAGTTTTTGGACGATTAATTTTACATATTAAAATTTTTGTTGTGTTCTGTTGTTATTGCAATGAAATAGTTTTACAAGTAAGTTGGACTATAAAAGTATCTACCAATATTCCTAAGGTTGTCAGGTTGTGCTTTACTGTGAATCTCAGGTTCTGATGAGTTTATAAGCTACATTCGTATGTAAGTATGTTCAGTAGCAGAAAAACAGCAATAATACGAGGTACGTAATACTGGGCTGATAATACGAGGATAAAAAAGACGAGCGATTTAATTCGAGTTAATATCTTGTACCTTCTTGCAATATTACGGAGTTCGCGTGTTTTTATGTCTAACTCCACTAAGTTAACTGTTAATTAAACTGTTATCTTAAAAAATAAATATTATAGAAATATGACTGCAAGGATGGCGTAATGGTTTAAGCAGTCGCCACGCCGCTTTCTACTGCGCTGAGTGTTGTTGGTTCAATCCTCACATGGGACAACACTTTGTGTGATCCACAAATTGTTGTTCCGAGTATGTGTGTTCTTTGTGTCCATTTCATGTGTTTGTAAAGTCCTCCGCGACACAGGAAATTTTCTTAATGCGGTAGTTGTCTTTCCAAAAAAAATACTAACTAAATCAGTGTTAGATATCGACATTAGGTATAACTACAGAAATCATAATAATAAGACACTATCTTATTATTACGATGTGTCTTATTATTACGATTTCTATGGTTAAGCACTCATTTTGTTAAAATTATTACAAAAAAGTCATATCATATTTAAACAATGTATTTAATAAAATTAGTAAGTCACTTTAAAAGTTCATATAAACTAAAATATAAAATTTTCGTGCCTTTTACAACGCTGTTCATAGTTTGGATTCCACCATTTCCTGAAGGTGGTCACGCTTAGTTTTGCGCTTAACCAGGCTGGATTGTTCATGATCTCGCATAACGTGCAAAAGTCCATTCCCATAGTTTCCTTCACGATGTAGTGATTCCTCCAGCGGAAAAAGTCGTAGTACATTTCTTTGTTTTGAATGATTCTGTGCATTTTTTTTGCTAGCACGGTTACACCGAGCTGTCTGAGATCCAGATATGAATACGGGGGAATGTGTCTAAAAATAAGGATGCTTTTATAGCCAACCACATTAGACAACCAAAAAAATTTTACTATGTGCCTCCTGGCTCTACCGTCAAGCCAGTTTATCATCATCATCATCGACAGCCTTTATAGTTCACCGACTATAATAGTTTAGTAGACCTCTCCTTTTTGGGGTTTGGCCTACTGTACCACGCTGCCCAGACGCGAGGGTTTGTGTCTAGTTTTCCTTCTCTTTGCAGTGCTGTTGTCCTGCGTAGTTAGCTACCTTAGTGGGCTCTTACCAACTAGTTCTAAGGTGACAAAATAGTGTAGCTAGTACACACTAGCTACACCTTGCCACGCTTCATTGTGGCACTTTATGGTTGCAAAAAAAAAGAAAATAACCATCTTTGAAATGTGTTGTATATCTGTCCGAGCTCAATCGGTGTAGAACTTTTTGAGTTTTTGAAGCGTACACAAACCAACTAAAAACTTTTATTTAAATAGGTTAACGTACCCAAAATACATACAATGTTTAATTTTGATTTTACTCTTATAAATAGGTTAAAATTGACTTCAAAGATTTATAAACATAGTCAACTATAAGTGATAAAAACATGTTACGTAAATACATTTTATGATAAATGCTATCGTGAAGTTAAATGGTAACAGGCATCAGTGGATTTAATTACAAGAAGTTACTAAAGTCCACGAATATTTGGGTTACTAACTAATTGTGAAGGTGGTGCACTCAAGTACCTAGAGGCAGAAGCCCCAAAAGAGAGTCAGACTGCTGAACAGCTGGAGATGCCCTCTACCAAGCAACTGATTGCAACCTATGCCGACAGATACTAGACAGGATGAAAGGGAGTCACAATCCTTAGCAGTGAGGGATCGAATAGGAAGAAAACACTCAAAGAACTGCAACGCGTTTAACACGTTTGTCTCTTTAGTTGCAGGAGCTTCTGGGGGTCGGTAATTACTTAATATCAGGTGACCGATCTATATGGGCATGCCGTTATCACGGCGGTAAGACCTGTTATGGAGTATTGGCTCGAGATGTATCACGGAACCCTCTCATACCAATTAACGCAGGTGATCACCGGGAAAGGATGCTTCGGAGATCACCTGTCTGATCCGCAAATCCAAATATTATATTATATTTATTTATATTATTTTACATGGTAAAGAACGAGAGTTTGTGGAACTCTGCCGTCTCCTTCTGCGAGCAAGTTATGCTTGCAATCGAGAAGGCGGAGCGGGACCGGGAGAGGTTTAGAACTCCGGCCCGGCAACGGTGTGCGTTACCCCAGCAAAATAATGTCGAAAATGGTCATTTAAACTTTATAGATAATTAGTTGCTCCCCTTCTGTAATTGTTAAGCACATTTTTAAATTTGTTTCACTTAAACTTTTTTAGTTATTTCAAAAAAACATTTCCTGCTGGGGTAACGTTTGAAACGTTACCGCAGCCAGACATTTTCTTTTTTAATTGTAATATTGAAATAAATTTTAGCTAAATAATTAGTTATCTGGACTAGGTAAATGTTACAACTTATTTGGTATTTGTATTTTCTTCGGGTGCGAAGTTATTCGAAATCCTGCTGGAGTAACGTTTGTGGGTTTGCTGGATCTCTGAAACGGGTAAGCGGATTGTAACCATCTTTTGTACATAACTTCTTAAGGATTAGTTTTAATTTGTTCGACAATAAAATAACAAAAATAATGGACCGTTTAAAAATTATTTAGGTAAGTATGAAAACACTTCAATACGTCCTAACACTTTAAATAAGACCTCTAAAGACTTACTTGAAACGTTATTCTATTGCTTGTAACTACCTTCAAATGTATACGAATTTTCGTAAGAATACTGTAAGTGACTAAAAAGTTATGATGAAATGTAGCTCTCCACGTTCACGATCACAATGTGTGCGGCCTTTTTTGGCCACCGATAAACCTGTGTGTGGATATATAAACTGAATGTTATGCCAATAATTAGTTGTTTAGTTCAGTTGTCTACCTGTAAAATTTCAGCGTCGCACATATAAAAATTTACGAGATAATTAAATAAAAGTCATTAGAAGGTGCAAGACCTGAAGAGGAGAAGAGACAAGAAGGAGAAGGTGGAAGAAGATGTTTAGGTGGTTACAAAAAAGCGATCACCCAGTACATTGTGCTGGCTTTTAAAATATGTAGGATATTATTTGCAAGTTTACTACGGATATGTACATAAGTGTTACAAAAAACTACATGTTTTTTAAATATTTTTTATTTAGGATTGTTTATTGCATAATTAGTAATCAGCCGGGAGATTAGGTATTGTTTTGAATGCTTTTGTTTTCTCGTAATGTTTAGGTGAATTGTTTATAGTTGTTCATAGAATTGGTACCTGCGTAGTATTTGTTAATTGAAGTTTAATTTTAGGGTAGGTATAGGTAATTTAAGAAATATGAAATGAAATGATAAGTTTTGAAGAGTGTAACGTATGCGTTGTAAATAGGTATTTTGTGAATAGATGGGGATTTTTTTTAAGTGATGAATCGACTTAGGCTAGCATATCGCGAACAAACTCTGTATTGCATTATTTCTGTAATAATGTTGGAGAAAATAAAATATTTGATCACAAAATCGCGGTGAGTTAAATTATAATAAAATAAATTATTTATGTAAAATTGGTAATAAGTGATATACCTACCTAAAAGTTATGATCGTTTTTAATTTGTTAACCCTGAACGAAATTTCAATATTAGCATTAGTAATTAATATCCTAAGACAAGAATTGACAATTACTTAAATTGAATCGAATTAGCATTAATGCCTATTATTAGTAATTAGGCACACATATATTGAAGAACTCTCAAGAATACGATAAATATTTGCAAAAATAGAAAGCGGAAGCGCACACGTACTTTACAACACGTATATTATCTGCCTAAGGGTCAAGTTCAGTGCACTAGATGCAAATTGCAAACAATGAAGTATCCCCTCCCCTCCCGCGTTCTAGCGAAGGATGTATTATCAGCGATTCTTGATTGACAAATATTATCTGACCAATAATTTTATCTATAAAAATGTATCACTTTCACTCGATAAATTAAATTACCGTTATTATATCAAAATATCATTCAACAACTCTTCGATTTTAACAGAAATCAACAGTCACAGGTAGGTACATAGGTATAGATAATTCTCGGTTCTCGGTATAGACCACAGAACAATATTACCTACTCTTACGAGGTATACGACTGTTGGGCGATGCAATGTTGATGCATTCTAATTTACAACTGTATTCTTCTACTATTCGGTCTATTTTAACTTATTGTAGATGACTTGTTGCTTTGAATATTTTGATGCATTCAAGTCTAAGCTCTATACACCCCAAAATAAAATACAATTACTTTAGTGTTATTTCTTTACAAAAAAAAATCAAAGAAATGAAACGATTTCTTATTGGTTTAAATTTTCGTTTTATTGCAGTCAGGTGAATCGTTCATACACGTATCTACATATTTATAATTTTAGCGGACCAGTGCAGATTTTCTGTTGATTGTAGCTCCGGTAGTAAAAAAGACTAAATAAATTTTAAGTAAAGAAACTAGTGCTTAAGATCAATTAGGGAAAAAAACAAAATAAATAATAGGTAATAATAATGAATAAATATTGAATGTATTTAACACTGTACGCAACTGTACCGAAATCGTAAGGTGTATTACACTAAACAATTTAAAAGACAGCGCAATGTACTGGGTGATCGCTTTTTTGTAACCACCTAAACATGGTCGGATTACCACGGACTTGCACCTTCTAATGACTTTTATTTAATTATCTCGTAAATTATTATATGTACGACGCTGAAATTCTACAGGTAGACAATTGAACTAAACAACTAATTATTGGCATAACATTCAGTTTATATATCCACACACAGGTTTATCGGTGGCCAAAAAAGGCCGCACACATTGTGATCGTGAACGTGGAGAGCTACATTTCATCATAACTTTTTAGTCACTAACAGTATTCTTACGAAAATTCGTATACATTTGAAGGTAGTTACAAGCAATAGAATAACGTTTCAAGTAAGTCTTTAGAGGTCTTATTTAAAGTGTTAGGACGTATTGAAGTGTTTTCATACTTACCTAAATAATTTTTAAACGGTCCATTATTTTTGTTATTTTATTGTCGAACAAATTAAAACTAATCCTTAAGAAGTTATGTACAAAAGATGGTTACAATCCGCTTACCCGTTTCAGAGATCCAGCAAACCCACAAACGTTACTCCAGCAGGATTTCGAATAACTTCGCACCCGAAGAAAATACAAATACCAAATAAGTTGTAACATTTACCTAGTCCAGATAACTAATTATTTAGCTAAAATTTATTTCAATATTACAATTAAAAAAGAAAATGTCTGGCTGCGGTAACGTTTCAAACGTTACCCCAGCAGGAAATGTTTTTTTGAAATAACTAAAAAAGTTTAAGTGAAACAAATTTAAAAATGTGCCTAACAATTACAGAAGGGGAGCATATAATTATCTATAACGTTTAAATGACCATTTTCGACATTATTTTGCTGGGGTAACGCACACCCGGCAACGTGCCAAGTACCGCAGACGACTCAGGCGCCGGAGGTCGCAGAACAACCTTAGTAACCTCCATAAGCGCAGGCCATGGGGTGGTAGGTGAGGCCATCTGTCACCCTAGCAGAAGCAGGCAGGGGTGGTGGCGAGACGCACTGCGGAGCGCGCGCGCGCTCAAAGGGGGACATAGGGGTGCTCGCACAGGAGGGGGTCATTTACACGCGGGTAGGTCGGGGTATAAGGGATTTCCTTCCTAGGGTACATCTGGTTTTTGGTCAGTTCGAGTCCGACATAACCAACGGTGGGTGGTATCCGAGGGGATTACCGCACAGATAAAAAAAAGGGTGACCCGTCCACACGTCGGTCGCCATATCATAAAAAATCATCTACCTGCAATTCAAATTGAACGCTGCGTTTTACTTAACATTGCAAAGAATTTTGACCATTTTATTTATTAGTCGAGTGGAAGTGTAAACGTTCGAACTTCAGTGTCGCGTAAGACCATGGTATTAAAGATTTTAGAAAAATAATTAAATTCAATACCTGTTATAATCAGCACCACTATATACGATTGGTACGGCATTATGTTTATAAGCAGTTATTATGTTGGCTGTAATATAATCTTTAGCAATAACCTCCTCTAGGGCTAGGTAGAAATAGTAGGTAGTCTTCAGCTTATAGTAAAATGAATTTATGTTCTTCCTACCACATCTAATAGTGCCACATTTACCAAAAACATCCACTGTTAAATTATATTTTGCTAATTCTCTCTGTAATTGTTTTAATAAGACTTCTCTTGTGCTTGAGCTATCGCAATTGTCCAGGAAAATGGCAGCTGCTTTGGATTTGGATTGTAGCATACTTTTAAGCCGTTCATCGATTGGCTTCATAACCTTGTTCCAATGTAGATCAAAACCTAGGTCTTCATAGTTGAGGTTATATACAGTGATATATGAATAAGGTATTAGAGAGTCCAATCTGTGAAGACAAATACATTATTAGCTGGGTAGGATAAGAGTCTCTACACACTAAAAGCATATATAGGTTGAATTTGAATTTCCGCAGCTATAATCACAATATATATAACAATGAAATATTAAAATGTGCATGGACCACACACATGAAGTTTGTCAGATTCTTTTTCTAATTACAATAGTGTTTTATTGTAATTAATTATTATCTCAAATCAGCAGGTCGAATATGGTAATAAGAAATATAGTGATGCGTTCATCATCAGCCTATCGCCGTCTACTGCTTGACGAAGCCCTCCCCCTAGGAGCGCGAACTATCCTGATCTTGGGCAGTCCTCATCCATCTGCTACAAGCCACTTTCCTCAAGTCGTCGGTCGTCGTCGCCGCAGGGCGCCCTACACTACGTTTGCCTAATCACGGTCTCCACTCTAATAGATGTCAGCTTCAGCGACCATTCAGTGAAAGTGGGCAGGTCATGTCTCCAGGCGGACTGCCTGGAGACATGGCCTGCCCACTTCCACTTCAGCGTACTGATTCTCCGTGCGGTACTCTAGTTCCCTGTCGATTATCTTCGTTCCGAATTTTATCGACTAGAGAAAACACCCAGCAATGTCCAGCATCTGAGCTCATCATCACGCTGAGCGACTTAAACTGGTGGACTAGTATAACAGTGAGTGTCCACGTTTTGGCTTCTCATTACGAGAAGGACGCATGCAGCGATTGTGGGAACGGCGACTCGAAGATACGACTTCCCATATGCCGCCCATCCCATACGAATTCTTCTATGTGTCTTCCGATCGAAGTAGTGACGCGTTATATCTGGATATTTGTACCTATTTTACATTTATATATAAGTATTCATTTACATATATCTATTTAATTAATATTTGTTGTTATTTGTGCAGGAAGTGAGATTGTTTTTATACCTCGATATCTAATATTAATAGTCATAACACAGTCATAAATGTATACAAAAAAGTAGGTATTAGATGCCTGATATTTGCGAGACAGCTGCAAATCTATTGAACACACGCAAGCGTCTGATGTTATAAAAAACATAATCGTACCTGTAACTCCACGTCCAGTTAAAATATCCATCGTAGATAGGACTGCAAACAGGGTACTCTTCCGCTGAGTAATTTGCAGCAAATATATACTTCTGTATCGGACTCCTCAAGGTTGGTAAATCCCACGTTGTTTTGTCTAAATCTTTCACATTGAAAAGAATACCATCGAAATATCGTATGTCACCCAAAAGGCTTCTGTTGGTTGTTAAATAGCAGTTTATATATAAGCATTTATTCTCAATGAGTAGCTGCTGGCCTTCTTGTTCTACGCCGGAAATTTTTGTCCAGAGCAGCAAATGCCTCAGGTCTCCTAAGAACCTTTCAATTTTTTTAATTGGCCTTATAGGTTTTTGGTTAAGAAAGTAACTTAATGTTATAAATAATACAATATGGAAAACAAATTTTAAAAATTGGTGCGCTCGGGCCATTTCATTTATTGATGAGTATACATTGTAAAGAATCAGAGGTGAAAATGATCGCAATAAGAACTTGCGTAAGGAGGTAAATACTGGTATGACGTCAAACTAACTGATTTTCTGAGTAACTACAATTTCTTGTGAAGAATTTTGTTGTTCGCAAACATATTTATGTTGTCATTGCATCTCATGAGTTCAGGAAATATGGTATATGGTTGATTACAAAATAATGTTTTAGTCAAAGGAATGCTTTAAACATGTAAATTTATAAAAATAAATAGAGAATGAAGGAAATTAGAGACGAGAAAGTTTTGGCTAGTTAGCAAATGGCAACATATTCGTTAGGTAGTTAGATTTTCTTTGTACTACCCTAAACTATAAAGTACGTTTGCAGAAATTTTATATCACATACATAATTTATCCTTTTCTTTTGCCCTACCAGCAAATTATACTGACAAAGAAAAGTCAAAAAAAAAAACCGGTCAGGTACGAGTCGTACTCGTGCGCCGAGGGTTCCGTACCTAACCAGATCTTACGTAGATTTTCGCGAAAATGTGTAAGTACCAAATATTTTCTTAATTTTCAACTTACTTAATTTTTTGGAATTATTCCTTTATTTGTGCTGTAAGACGTTTCTTTTTGCCAAATTTCGTGATTCTAGGTCAACGGGAACATTCTGAAAAATAAAATATGTTGAAAATTAAGGTAAATTTAGGTACTTAGGTACAAGTTTTCGCGAAAATTGAAAATTGCCCATATCTTTTTATCGTTTTGACTAAGGAACTTGACTTTTATACACCTAATAGGGACCATAAACCTCAGTATCTGGTATAAACTTGCTAGGTCTACCCGTTCCTGAGAAAATCGGTGGTGACACACGGACAGACGGACAAACGTAAACAAAGTAATCTTATAAGGGTTCCTTTTTTACCTTTTGAGGTACGGAACCCTAAAAAAATACAAAGAAATTAATATCAAATGTAAATAAATACAATTTAAGTGTATTTGAAAGAAAAATTAAATTTGATTTACCACAATACGATTTGGCACGCATTTTCTCAATATGGCGACAATGCGTCGCTTGCTTATTGTGCACATGATGTGGGTCCTCGGACGGACAGCTCCCGAACAAAATTGTCCGTGTTTTTTGAATGGCATACCCGATTAATGCTTTTACAAGGAAATCATTTTGATGGACGCTTTAGAAAACATTTTTTGTTGTTACGAATGTGACGTATGAATGTGTTACGAGGAAAGAAAAATTGAAAATGTCTATTTTGGTTGTATGTGAAAGTAGCTGACTGTCCTGAATAATGTTGTTATAAATTGAAAAAGTTTCTATATAGGCTCAGCTTGTTATTACTCCATATTAAAGTGTTAAATATTTGCTTTGTGAAATTGATTTATTCATTTTCTTCTTTGTTCTTCTTCGTCTTCGGTTTATGGGTTCAGATTTCCACGTAATGCCCAATTCGAATTTGTGGTGTGGTGACAAATTAAGAATACGGAGTGTCACCACTCCTATTCATCCCGTGGGTGTCGTAAGAGTTGACTAAGGGAAGGAACTAGGCAGGACAACAACACTGCAAAAAGAAGGAAACTTGAAACAAACCCTATACCAAACCACCTGTTTAGCGTGGTATAGCAGGCGAAAAACACCTGTCTAAGGAGAGGCCTAAGTCCAGCAGTGTGGACTCTTACATGCTTTTGATGATGATGTTGATGACCCAATTGACTGTCTGACCTGATCCAGCTATTAGTTGAATTCTCTAATCCATCGCCATAAGTTTTATACCTTTTCTACTAATCTCTTCCCTTCTTATTGACTTTTCTTCTTAATATTCTTTCAACTTTCTCATCTCCATCAATCCCTAAAATAAAGTAAGTGGACGGTAGTAAGCTTGTCCTCTTTTATGTGAGGGCCGGATGGCGTAGTGGTTTGTGTAACTTACTGCTATGCCAAAGGTTGCAGGTTCGATTTTCGTTCAATTCAACCATTTTTGTTTAATTTGGTCTAGGTGTTTCTATGTATAAAAAGTATTATATCTGTTATCTAGTACCCACAGTACAAGCTCTGCTTAGTTTAGGACCAGATGGCGTTATGTGAATGTAGTAGGATATTATAAAAAAAAATGTAAGTGGGTTTAAAACTATAGTTGGCCAAGTGTAGTAGGCGTTTAATAAATTAGAAGGTAGATTTATACGCCTCTGGTTATCCCTTCGGCGATATGAGTGTGAGTCGTTCGTCCATCTTGTGGTAAGTGACTGATGTCGCTCAAGGACACCTCCTACTCAAGAGACTCAAGTAGACATGGAAGTTATTGCTACTTGTAAATCATATTAATTTAATGAAATGATTAGTGTTTGTACTATGATTTCACCTGTGATAAATAACTACTTAAATTTGGTCATAGACAAAGACTAATGCCATCAAAACAAAACAAACCGACCTTTTGTTTTTTTAGAAATATAACTTTCGCGTGTCTGGCGCTAGCGTAATAATAATTAGTCGCAGTAATGTTGTAGACGAGTCACAGTTGTGATGAAATAATTTTAAAATCATACCATTTTTCATAGTTGGTTGCCATTTCATTCCATGCCTAAACACAAGTGCATCGCTGCCATTTGACCCCTGTCCCTCCGAACTAACAGTGGCGGGGGGAAGGTATTTTTTTTATTTACATAACTTTATGCACTTTTGTACATCGGCTCGACTCAATGCCCAGAAGATTAACTTCCAGTCAACCTTTAGGGTGTAGAAATCGTGATGGCGCACATAGGTTACATTACTAATCAATTTATCTTCACTAATCTCTTGCTCGGTGAAAAGCAAAAAATAAATTGATTAACGCTGAATTTCTGTGAGGCCGTGGTATAACTCCAGTTGAACCGACCAATATATTGTGTCAAAGCGTGGTTGACCCACGATATTGAGGAGTTTTAATTTTCGTGGAAGTGGTTCGCTCGTCTTAGAACTATTTTAATTATGAACGTCAAAATAAACAAAAGTATCAAACTACCCTTTAGTTAGTTAAAACTTATTTAGAAAATATATTGAATAAGAAAGAAGCCTCTCTAAGTCCATGAAGTTTAAATACACAGATATTGTGTGAGTTGTTCAGTATTCAGTGGGTAGCGGTGATTTTCCAATGAGCGCGCCGGTACGAATGCAAAGACGAGACGTCTTCACCCTGCCGCGGACGTGGACTACCTATTCTGACGATTGTTCCACTATGACGTCTAACTACGCAGGAAGCCGCGCCTTTCAAAAAGGATCTTAGTTATTTATGTGGATGAAATATTTCGATTTTGTTGTTTCGCATAAAAATGGATGGTATTTAGGGAATAGTATAAGTTGTTTCTGTAGAAGTATATCAATCACTTGTATTCGTTTATTCAGAGCGACGTTAATACAATTTTTGACAACTTTTGTTTTCCGTTTAGAAGTCGTCAATTATGATAGTGAGTTTTGTGTTGTGTTATGTTATTCATTTTTGGGTAATCAGTACACACAAAAGAAAAATAAAACAATGAAGAAAAAAAAGGTTATTACAATTCAATATGATGTGGGCACATTAAATTCATCATCACCATCATCAACAGCCTTTAATAGTCCACTGCTAGGCCTACATAGGCCTCTTCTTAGAAAGGAGGTTTTGACCTACTATACCACGCTGGCCAGACTGGTTGGTATAGGGTTTGTTTCAAGTTTGCCTTCTTTTTGCAGTGCTGTTGTCCTGCATAGTTTGCTCTCTTACGCTCCGTACGCTTAATCCGTCACCACACCATAAATTCGGATTGGGTATTAGGGGGAAATCTGAACTCTTAAACTGAAGACGTAGAAGAACAGAGAAGAAAATGAATACGTTAATATCAGAAATGAAATTAAAAACACTTTTATACGGAAAAATAACAAGCTGAGCCTATATAGAAACTTGGAGACCGCGTTTTGCGTTGTGATTGGCCCGCACTGAAATCTTCACCAATCGCAACCCCGAACGCGGTCGCCATCGAGAGCTAGTTGATGGGAAACAAACTGGCACCAGGCCCTCAGAATAACCCCGCGGCTAAGGTAGCTTCTCGCTAATGAGATTCTTTGGCTCGCGGTTTGCATTTCTGATCAGTTTCGCTGTCTCACTCACTCAATAGCTTGTGCTACTCAACTTATGTTCTAGTAATGGCTTTCCAATGCTTAGTGTTGGCTCCAAACACGTATCACCAACTAATTTGAACTACTCTAGCGTGTGGTTTTGGAGAAATGGATTATAAAATGAAATATTTATTGATTACAAAGCTTAACGCCCGCTGCTCGAAATTGAAAAATACTAGTAATATTTTACTCATGTTATTTTATTACTTTGTTATTTTGTTTTGAAAGACAACTCTCGCACTAGGAATATATCTTGTGCTGCCTCTTCATACTATCACCTCGCCTCTTCATACTGCGCTAAGTGTTGTGGGTTCGATCGATGTATGATCCACAAACTATTGTTCTGAGCGCAGTCGCCATCCTTGCAGTCAATCGCTATCAGTTCTAATCTTTGTTGGTTGAATTTGCTACCTCTGTTTATTATGTTACAAAATGTGATGTTAGAATTTCCCCATTTGGACCCTTTATTCAATGAGCAATGTTATTTGCCTAATTTCATAATATGCCTTTAAATATCATATACATAGTTATAACTTTTTGGATCACTTACGTTCGAGTAGGTACACATATCATTTTGAAAGAGTCTATTACTTGAATACTCACAAAAGGTCTCAAAGCTCGTCCAATAATAATTCGGATGACATTTAAAATATGATTTGGATAAAAAGGGAATAAATTTGGCATAGCAATGTAACAATGTCGTTTTGAGAATAGTATAAAAAATCCCTTTTATTGAAACTAGCTGGCCCCAGTTATCCATTATGTATTAGACACGAGGATCGACATGCCCATTGACATACGACATTTTTCTTACATAAGTGGAAGACAGAATCTTTTTATGCGTCAGAGATGTTTTAAATATTTTTTAGGTTTTATTTCTATTTTTATGGTGTGCTAGTATATAACTGTTCTTTATGCCTTTACAGTTTGCAAATAAATAAATAAATGTTGCATAAAACGGGATTTCTTCGTGATATTATTGATAAGTTCAGTTAAGTTAATAATAAAACCATAAATACAAGTCAGTTATTTGGAAAGCACACAGTATTTTTTTTTATAAATTGTTTGAATTTGAAATTTGAATGGGACCAAACGTGAAGTACAGTACTTCACGTTTGGTCCCATTCAAGTTTGAAAACACCGTAGCACCGTACCGTAAGTATTGAAAATTAAGGAATGAATGCATACTGTTTATTTATCATTATCAAATTTTTCATAATGTGGGCGCATTGTGATCAGTAAAAGTTAATGATGTTTTGGTGGGTTAATTAATTAATTAGAAGTTTCCAAATCGTTGTTAAGGATGAATAGGATGCGAATTTATTAGGAATTCAATTTCGTTTTAGCGTTTATCAGTCGTATACCTATTATGCATATAGGTGATTTAAAATATCAAATTTTAGCAAAGATAGAAACCATTTACTACGATATACATGATTAAGTAAAGGAACTGTTATCGTTTTAAAACAATATTTGGTGGCGGTTTTCGTGTCGTCATGAACATTGGTATCGGCCAGTAATAACACGAACATATCTTCTACAATATTCAGTTTTTGCGAATGTTAGTCCCTGGAGGGCTACTGTCTATGACACATGCGTGGGACTGAATCTAAAATGGGCCCCTTGAATACATTTGCTCACCCAATATGGGATGTTACCTTTTTGTCACCATATGCGTGACTTGAGATAGTTTTTTCGGCCATTATATAGTCGAGGTATATTTTTTTGTCCTAGTGTGTTTTATTCATATTGATGTTTGAGTATGATTGCATTTTTACTAGTTGTATTGCTTAGTTACAGTTATATACCTTATGGTAAGCTGTAGCTCTTAGGAACGCAAATTAATAAAATTTAGACTGAGTTCTTTAGTGCACTTTAAGGACTTTTTTTCATTTATTAAAGAATAAACTATGTAATATATAAATATGTATTTTAACGAAATTAATGCAACATTATTAACCTTTAAAGTCTTCAAACTGTATGCTGAGGTAGGAAGAAGGACTCCGAAAAACTTATTTATGGTTCTTGTTTTCGTGGAAGCGTTTACGAGTTTAAATATACATGTGTTTTATGAGGTGTTTTACTGATAAATACGTGACTATTGTTTGATATAGTTGCTCATTTGATTACTTTAGTTATTATTGAATTAAGCTTGTATTATAGTCATATTTCTTAGAAATAAAGTGACATTTTGTTTGTCCTACTAAAACAAAATGTCACTAAACTAGGGATTTGTTTTACGAGTGTATTTAATAATATGTTTGTATATTTATTTGGCAGGCTCTGTAGCCTTAGCGGTTTGATCGATATTAGCGTTTGAACTGTTAGATTCCTAATTGGGAGACTGAAACTGTGTACATGAAAATCATAAAAATTAAAATCTCTGCTTGGTAAATAAAAAAGTATACATTTTTACGCTGTTGGGTTTTTGTTTTATTTTTCAATAATTAATAGCTTGTTGATTATTGTGTTGGTAATTAATTTTGTTCTGTGACATATAATTATATATATGTACGGGAATTAACACGATAAGGGTTACCTAATAGTGTAGATTACATTCCTTTGAAAAGCGCGATGTTTCGTTCAGGTTGCACAATCAAATGACAGTTCAAAGGTACGTTATATCTATAACGTGATCGTGTTAATTACTATAGGAATACGTTAATATGCCATCTTAATTATTTTATGAGTTTAGTTATATTATTAGATTGAGTTTATGTTGGAGTTACAATCCTTTGTTATTGTACGATCTGATGCAGTCTCATTCCAAACTAGACTGTGCTATGGTAACCAGACTAGGTACTGATAAAAGTGGTTAAATATTTGCAAACACATGCATATTTCAGTTAATTTGCACCCATTCTTATTATATAATATAATTATTATTTTCTGGGTATATAATATACATAATTAAATAATAATAAATTAAATTGCAATTAATTATAATTAAATTTAGTTAAAACTGTCTTGGGCTTCAATAACGAGTTTCAATAATATGCATTTTATACATATAATGAAGCGTGTTAGTATTCTATCAGAGTAAAATGGTTATAACTCTGTTCAGTCCCGAAGTCTAAAATTAAATCTCGGCTCAAAGAGGTCCGTGCTCCGAATAATCTATTGGTAACAAGATTACGCCTCAAACATGTGTAAATGGTAATGGGATATAGAGATCCTTCGAGATGAGATAATATTTTAATAGAGAGGGTTGTTATACGGGTAGAATTATTAATTAATCTAGTCATAAACTTTCAATTTATGTTTTTTTTTAAATATTCTATTTAATTTCCAAAATGGGTTAGTTTTTGTCGAATCTTGAACGCTGAATAAAAACTACTAGATTTTTCCCACTAAATTGAATTTGGCCTTATAATTTCAAAATGTTTTACGTTTTTTCAGGAAATGATTTATTTATTTTTCCAAATATGGCAATCTTTTTGATATCGCCACTGATGAGCCACTGCCATTCCATCGCCACCGTAAAGACACTGAGTTAGTGTAGACTATCGATATTTATACAAATGCCAATGGCCAGTCGATGACATCTCAATAGCGTGTCAGTGGTATGAGAGTGGCTTGGCGTGAACATAAAATAGCAGAATTGAGGCCCTAGATGGCTACCAATACTTTTTCCTTTAAAGTAAAAGTAAAGCAGTATCTGGTCAAAAAACTGGCAGAATCAACTTGCTCATGATTTCTTTTTATTTTAATACAAAATTGTTATCAGTATCTATTTGCGTGTGTATGTATGTACGATTTATATACTTTTATACTGTATTTATGTATTATAAGGTATGTACTTATGTGTAATATTAATATGTATATGTGTAGTATATGACAGATTTGTATATGTGTATATATTATTAGATTTTGTACAAAGTATACATACAATATAAAATGTCTAGATCAACTGTAACTAAAATGCACCTACTTACTGTTTTCTCTGCATCACCCAATGGTTGACTGGTAGAGAATGCTTTGGGCATTAAGTCCGCCAATGCACTAAATGTGCATGATGTGTAAATAAATAAATAAATAATAATGCAATAGTAGAAAGAATTTAGTTTCTGCGCCATTTTGAAATACGATGAATACGTAGAACTTGTTGTATGAGTAAACGAGCGAGTTTATTATTTACAAATTTTTCATATGCCATTGTAATTACTGTCAGATTAGTTTGAACTTTTGAGTTATTACGCAATAGATATAATATATATATATATATATATATATATATATATATATATAATATAGATATGTTTTGCAGCAATCTGTTTTTATTTAATGATTTACTTAAACTTTGGTGGTAACTATTGGCAAATGTTAATGAAGTTAAACAAGATAAGATAAAGTTTATTTTCTCTTCCAAAAAGGTTACTTAATACCAGGTTAATACATGAATTGCTCAAGACCATTGTAGGAGACTGACATTTGAACCCATAGTACAATATTTGAATTCTAATTATGTATCTAAAAAACATCTTTACCTACCGAAAAATTTCAACCCTAGCGAAGTTAAGGCTCTGATATTGAGCTATTTCTGCCTTAACTTCTTTAGAACCTGACCTTTTTGAGCTTAATTGTATAAAAATCAATAATAAGAAATCTTACAGCACTTCTCTGATTAGGAACGTACACTACGCACACACCATAAAGTATTATCATCAATCGATCAAGTGTTCCTCAGCGCGTCTAACTACGCGGACATGGCAACCACGCGTCTCCTTGCCATCTATCTTCATCCGACCACTGTTCTTTGCAGTACTGTGTCCATTCTCTTACACAATAAAGGTCATATTCACGTTATACAAAATGTGTAGGAACAATATCTCTTATTATTATCATGCAATGTCAATGTAGCCGACACTTTTAAGCAAGCTTATATTGACTTTTACTGAATGTTGACCTTTTTTCTTTACAGAGGTATTTGAAGCGTCTATACAGTTTCTTGAGGAATGGATATGGTAAACAATATGTAATTAACGTTATTAACTAGTCTAAGATTTCTAGGTTGGGCAAACCGTCAAGAGTGTTTTGTCTTAGGAAACTTTCAGTAGCATTGCTTCATGAACTCAAAAACGCCTTCAGTTTATGTAGAACAAAAAATCAAACACAAGTACCACAGCTGTAAAGTGACGAACTACTACATAATACGTCATTATCGTAACGTCAAACAATGAATACGTACACCAGATTGACTGATAGCCCCCTGTAATGGGGGATTGAGTGATCGGCTCCAATCTGACAAGTTAGTTCTACTCTTTCAGCTGATCGATGGTCGAAGTACTTCGTGTGCTAATAGGACTTATACGAGCGTGCTCGTTTTTGATTGATCCTTTTTTGGATAAGGCTCGAGATTAATAGTGAACCTTGATTGAAATAAATCTTTGTTTGAAATTAAACGATTATATTATTTTTGTTGGTTATTTTTTATTTCTGATTAAAGAACTACCGTGTTCGACTAGTTTCGTGTAAAATAATCTGGCTCTGTAGTTGACAGATGGTGTTTTTATTTAATATTATACAAAGGTTTAAGAAACACAGTTTCACTAATGTATTATAACTTTAGAAAA